GGGAGGGAGGCAGCCACTCCCTGCTTTCTAAACAATGAGCCCGTATGCGCTAAGGGGACTGGAGGCAGACAGGCATTACTCTTATCCTGGTTAAAAATCCTAAATCATGAAAAACCACCGGAACCGAGTCTAAGGCACAATGCAGGAACAGAGAAGTGTCAACGTTTAAGCTGGGGCCGACGGACAGGGAAGACTGCTGTGCAGTCCTGTGACCGTGGCCAAGCGCCCCCCCCTCCCCCCCGCACCCGAGGGGGCCACGCTGTGCGGGAGCGATGTGGGCACACGCAGAGTTCTGAGTGCACTAAGTGCACACGCCAGAATTCTCCTGAGGTTTGTCAGCTGCTGCGCCAATTAACGTGGGAACCTTAAAAGTCAAATCTTGACTTCTAAAATGCAGGTTTCTGTGAAATGAAATGGTCTGTTAATACCAATTAAGCAAAACACAAAAGCCTAACAAAAATAGACATTTATTAACAAGTTATAAAATCCCAAATCCCCCCCCTTTGAAACAATTAAAAAAAAAAATACAGGCTTTCTTTCCAAAGCAGAGACCAAATCAATTTTATACTGTAGGAATTTACATAGTAAAATAATTAACACCGGCAGGAGCTCATTCACTCAAAAAGTTATACAAAGCTTTGTTAAGACTTCTCATGGAAAGAAAAGTTGAAACATCTCTCTTCACACTCTTTATCTGACTTATTACGTTCTTGGACATTTTAGCTTTAATATGCACATAATCCCTTAAGTGCTCAGAAGTGTTACCTCGACTTGAGGTATATTCTCTGAAGAGCGACGAAGCTGGGAGGCGGGGCTTACCTACCTGACCACTGAGCCTGCTTGTGGCCCGGAAGGCCCCACGCCCACTGCAGCTCCGATTACGCTGTGTGCACACAGTCCCTTGAGCTTAGTACCTACTGGTGAATTAAATAAGTCAACTTCGCTCGTCAGGAAACGGAGTTGACACAGACAGAACTCGTCATCATACAAGGCTTGCAGGGAAACCCTTGACTCAACCAAACTTCTAGAACCTGGGGCCAGAAGGCGTCAGATGGCAAGGCGTCAGATGGCAGGGCGTCAGGCGTCGGGGACTGAGGCGGCGATGTTCTTACAGAGGATGACGATGGCCTCCTCGTCACCACTTGGCGTGTCCTCTGCGGTGTCACAGATCATTCGGACATGGGTTAGGAGGGTGTCCGGCCGCTGAGCCCCCAGCCAGACGTCCTTAACGTACAGAGACACCAGGAACGCTGCGGTGGCTGAGGAAGAGGTGAACGACAAGGCCGTTAGGACACAAAGCTACTTCGCTGGAAAGCCAGTCACCCCCACCCCCCACGCATGGGGACACAGAGGCTTTGCTCAGTGCCCAGTGAACTGTGGCAAAAGGAGGTGAGCATGTATTCAAGACAAATTAATTTTGCCTTTGCTTAACTTTGGGGTTAATCTTCTTTATTCTAAAATTTCTCTTTTTATTCGATCAATGTGTGTGGAATGGAAAGTTACTACAAGCCAAGTTTCTTCTTGGTTCTGACCACCCGTGCCGAGAGCCAGAACTGAGGTCTGAGAAGAGGTTCCAGGTTCACTTCACATCACTTCCCCAATGGCATGGGTGAGGTGACAGGGTTTCCCAGGCCCAGACTCAACTCCCTGACAGCATCCAGATGAGAGAAGAGGTCACCCACCCAGGGGAGTTCACCTGCTCAGGCTGCTGGCCTATCCCCCTTCCTGCTCCCCTTCCATCGCTGGTGAAAGGAACAGCCCTCTCAGAAGGAGGAGGCCACACGCACATGGTCACAGCCCCCCTCTGCTCTCTTACAGCCTTTTAACGCCTTTGCTGCTCGTCCGTTCATTCTTTCCCGAATTTAGGCCTTTGCGAAGCACCTGCTCGATGCCAAGCACGTAAACGGTGTGCACGTGCGCGTGCCTGTGCGTGTATATGCAAGAGCACACATACACGCGTCTGCGGCCACGCGCACACCCGGACGCGCTCAGACAGAACCCTCCACGTAGGGAGGCGGAAACGTAGGAAACGTAGGAAACGCCGCCGCCCTGCACTGGTTCCGAGCGGGCACCTTTCTCCGCAGTACACACGGTGGTCACTGGGCAAAGGCCACGCTCGGGGCCCGATGGCAAGCTATGACCCCCAGCGCTTCGGCTGGCCCACGCGAACACTGCGGCCAAAGCACCCGACGGCCTCTGAGAACCAGCCTCACCTCGAGTGGCTTCGTCGTCCTCCTGCAGAGCCGAGAGAAAGAGGCTCTGGACCGCCAGGTGGCAGGGGCTCGGCGCCGGGCCCTGGGCCGCCACCAGCTGCAGCAGGACGGCGCCGAACAGGCAGGCGACACTGTGCGCAGGCCCCACCAGCTCCTGGGCGCCGCAGAACCGGCTGTAGAGCCGGAAGAGACTACCCCTCACGGCGCCGTCCCGGAGCAGCTCAGTCACCACCACTGGCTGTGGCAAAACGTGGCGCTGCAGCCAGCCAAGAAGTCCCGCGGCCTCTGCCCTGCTCGGCGGGTGCCCCGCCACCGACCGCAGCACCCAGCTGACCGCCAGGGACGCGGTGGCGCACGCGAGGCCCGGCGCACGGCTCTCAGGGCTGGCCCCGGTCGCGGGCTCCTGAGCCTGTTCGGGGCCGGGGAGCGCTGGCCCCCAGTGGGTCAGTATGGACCTCAGGAAGCCCCTGCATGTCTGCAAGGTGGCCGCGGGCTGCTCGGGCTCGGCCGTCTCCTCTGCCTCCCCAGGCCTCCTCCTCCGGGCCCGCGGGCCTCTGGCTCGGGCTGGCACGACAGGCTTGTTCTTGTCCTTGAGCATCTCTGTTACACACACACACAGAGGAAGGCAGTGAGACGGAGGCCCCTCTTCCCCACACAGATCCGGGGAGCCGGGCGCTGGAGGGGGGAGGAGGGCAAGGTCCCGAGTGCCGGCCCCCTGCTCGGCTCCCACGGGACACGCTCCTATGCCTGGAGCCCAGCGAGAGTGCCACACCGGACGGTGACAGCCACGGCGGCTCTCGGGATGAACCCCTTCCAGCCTCACCACAGCAGAGCCACCCGCCGCCCCTCCCAGCGAGCAGTGACAGTGGCGCAGGGGGACTCAAAGCCAGGTCTCCCCGGGGGGGCACGACGTGCCCGGTTTCTAAGCCTCGTGCTCAGAGAGGGCAAGTGCTGGCTGCTCTGTGGGGGAAGCGAGCACAGTCTGGGGAACACCAGACAGTTGGCTCCGGACACCCACTCTGTAGCTCCTTGACTTGGTATCTCTCAATGGCCGCTCTCAGGTCCTCCTGGAGCTTAGCGTCTCTCTCAAGGAGGCTCCATTTGTGCAGGAGGATGAGGACATCGTTGGTGGACAGCACCGTCTCGTTCACGGTGAAGCGGTTCATGTCCTTGAAGGCCTGCATGACGGTGGCCCGGTACTTGAGCACGGAGTCGAGCGCTTCAAAGAAGCCGGTCAGCTGGGCAGAGGCCAAGGTCGGCCTGTTGGGAGCCAACGACACAGACTGAGCAAAAGCTGCCTCCTCATCCCGCAGCCCACGACTGGGGCGGCTGGGCAATGTCACAGACCCAGAGGGGCCAGTGGTCCACCCACGACTCGGGGGTCCGCTCAAAGCAGACACAGAAGCACGGAGCCCAGCACAAAGAACAGAAAAAGCAAGCCGCTCCAGGGGAGGCACAGTGGGACCGGAGTCTCCCCTCCACGCTGGAGGCACAGGAATCTCTTGGAAACCATGGCTAACCGGGAGAGCGAGGTGGAGAGAGCGTGAGGGTCTGGGCGCCGGCCACCTAACCGAACACCATAGGACGGCCGACTCCTCTGTGCCTCGCGGCCTCTCAGACTCAGGCCCATCCACGGCCAAACCTGACCGTGGGTACCCGCAGGAAATCCACTCTGCACTCGAGGGAATTTAAAATTCAATACTATCTGCTCCACACAATCTTAAAATTATTTCAAACAGTAATCAGTTCTCAAACACCAGTATGTCTTTCTACAACCCTGGAATAAGAAACTGGTCTGTCGGCACTGATTTCACAATTTAATTCAGAACAACGAAAGACCAAATGCTTTATCAAGAAAGTTTTTACTCTGAGATTATAAACAATTTGCAATCAATTCTTCTGGTTCCAATTAGCATTACCTCTGTTCCCAAGTCAGAACTCTAAGTGCACAGGCTATATTTTCTCTAGGACAATGGAATCTGAGGAGGATTCAGCTCTCTGCGGAACTGAGGAGCATTATTCTAAGGAGCCAGATGAAAATACTGAAATTTTCAAGAAGATCCTCAGATAAGTGAGTGTGTGCAGGCTAGTGAAGGCAGAGGCAGGTTTGGGAACACTTGACTTTCTTAGGTTTAAAGGTCATGGAAAAGATATTCTTTCTAGAAAAACATCACTTTAAGTGCTTGAATCAAATTAGCAAGTTGTTTGCCTGCTAAAAAGGATCTGCTATGACACATTTTAGGTTTCTAGAGTGCCAAGTTCTCAGGGTCTTGAAAGGAGCCTCCTAAAGTTGAAGCAGAAAAGAGGAAGCAGCTAAAACAGGTTTTCTGACATCACCCACAACCGACAGCAGCCCTTGGGCCCAGAGCCCACCAGTGGAGGCATGACCGAGGGGACCACTGAGAGGTGATGTCCACAGGTGACCCACGCCAGGGGCCGTGCCTGGCAGGGCAGGGGCTTACCTCAGGTGCCTCGTGAGCGCAACAAGAGCATACAGGAACTCACTGACCAAGTGCAGGGCGAGCAGCTTCGGAGGCTCCTGGGACCCTGGCTGGCAGGAAGGCTGGCCCTCCGACGCCACTCCTTTGTCCCCCAGGTTGGTCACCCACAGTGTGTGTAGCAAGGAGATGATGTTGGACAGCAGCTGGGTCTCCAGAAACCTGCAACCAAGTCCAGAACGCTCACTGCCACATCCTCTCCTTTCGGTGACCTCGGCTGGAGCAGGGGTGGGTGGCAGGCTGGCCCGTCTCTCCCAGCAATTCCATCTGCTCACCCCCACCACAGCCCCCAAAGGCACAGCACCCAAGTCAAAACAGGGAGGCTGCCACACAAACGAAGCTTCAGCATAGGGCGGGGCCCCAATTCTCCTTTCTAGCTGGACGACCCCCTGAAGTCCCAACTAGAGAGTATGGATTCTACTGCCCATTTCCCGCCAACACTAAAGCCAGCAGTAGACGCCATGGTCTCTGCCCCACTCTCTTCCCACCCGGCATACCTCTCACACACGAGGTGCTTACTTGCTCTCAAGGATGTGCAAAATCCACGTTAAAAGGCTATAGTCCCGGAGGATCTCATAGGCAGACTGGGCATCCCGGGCAGCGTTCTGTAGAATTTCCAGAATCCAATTCTGAAAACCCAAAACTAAGAGTTACTTCTCAGTACGAAAACCAAGTTTACCGGACCAAAGGAACAAGTTAAACAGTACGACGGTATGTTACGTTTCCAGGCGGTGGCTGCAGACAAAGCTTGCTTGGCTAAGTCTATGAGCGTGGTGGTCGCGCCGGCCAGATACACAGACTCCAGAGCCACTGCCCGGCCCTGCGGGTGCCCACGCCTGCAAGCCCATCCTAAGGAACCAACCCATGGGCACAGAGTCGCAGCTCAGAAACCACATGGCCCAGATGTGAGGCTGGGAGAGAATGTGGACCCACTCTTCACCCAGACAAACAGCTAGCGGCCCGTTTTGTCCCTTCGGTTTTACCACCTGGAAAGTCAGACATAAAAATGGGACTGCCCCTTGAACGGGGAATTGGGTGTTTTAAAATTTCTCACATGTCATAAAAAATAAAAAACTACCATATCCAAATTCAGTTCATTCCAACGTGTTTCTTATTTCCGACCCGCTCCTATTTACCCACGTTTTATATACTATCAGACACAAAAGCTGACGGGGCTAGAAATTATTCCAAATACCAAAGGCTTTACCTAGTTACTCCTTCCAACTACCCTCGGCACTTAGAACACTCACACATGAGCTCTTGGTCGAGGGGATTCCCTCGTTGGCTCTGAGACCGTCGGTTTTGACTCCCGACTCTTGTTTTCTAGCTGAGTTTGGAGATCTACAGCATCTGTGCATTTAGTGACATTCCAGTGGCTCAAAACGGTCTCCGTGAAAGCCCTTCAAGTCATTCACAGGGGTCATCTGTTGCTACACTTTTTAGCCCGCTCCAAAAGCCCGCGATTACCGGTTAGCTCCTCCCTCTGCCCAGGCCTTACTATCGAAGGGGCCACAGCAAAGAGCATGTCACCCGAAGACGGACGGCAGTGAGGGCCAGCCCACAGCCTGCACACATGCACGCTACACGAAAGGCACCCGCGGGATCTCATTTTCCCTCGTGGAAAAAGTCAGCTTAATGTCAAATTAGTAGGTCGGTCATGTCCAGGCTGGGATTAGAATTCCCACGGATTTGACTTGCAAATCAAACCTTCAGAGAAAGTGGGGGGAGCCCTGGGTGGCTCAGCATCTGATGCTTGGTTTCGGCTCACATCATGATCTCGAGGTCGTGAGATCGAGTCCTGCACTGGGCTCCGTGCTGACTGTGGAGGCTGCTTGAGATTCTCTCTCCCTCTCTCTCCCCCAAATAAACAAACAGAAAAACCCCCCAAAAACTGTGAGAAGCAGCCCAGACCTTCTGTTCTCAGACAGCCTGGGGGGGCCGCCTACCTGTGTCTCGCCGTCACACAGTGGGCTGCTGAAGAAGGACAGGATGATGTGGAAGACGCCTCGCCGGGCACAGAGCTCGTAGCAGTGCTTGTCCCGCATCCCCTGCCGCAGGAGCCCGAACACCCACTCCCGTTCTGTCTTTTGCTATAACCCAGGCAGACAGGAGGCGACTGTTAGATTAGCTAAAGCCCCTTTACCTGGCGCCTCTTCAAACCCCACTCTCTCTAGGTGCAGCCACAGCGGCACAGACATTTCTCTACTGCTGACCATGTCATGAAAAATCCTCAGGATGTGACTCGGGGTCCTCAGGTCAAGTTTAAGCACCGCCCTGTGCCAACTCACACAGGTGTGCGACAAAAGCACATTTAATGTGGAACGCGGCCACTCACCAAGAACACAGAATGAGCCAGGCCTCTGAGGGAGGGTGCTAAGGCGTGAGGATGCCAAGCATTTCTACAAGCGAGCCTACGCGGCCTTCCGCTTTCCCGGCCTTCCTGCTCCAACACTGTTCGTGCAACTGGGCTGCCGTGCTGCCCACAGTATCCAGGGGGAAAATGCCAGGACGCCAGCAGGGGCTAATAATCGAACGGAGGAGTCTCTGGGGGCCCTCGGGGACTCTAGAAGCATTACCTCAGAGTCTGAGCTGTAGAAGAACTGGTAGAAGCCCGGAACTTTATTCATATTCAAGTACTCGTGTGACAGCAGGAACTTGTTGATCTTCAAGTACATGTGCTCCTCTGGGAACAAAGGCAGACAGTCGCTCAGAGCAGCACCGACGGACCGACGGGACCCCCGTGCTCCGCTGGAGTTGGGGAGCAGGATCTGGGGGTCAGACAGAAGTCCCTGCTCCCGTGGCGCTTTTGTACGCTTATCCAGAGTCTCAGTTCTCGAGAATCAGACGGCAGTAAGACACCCCGGTTCTATGCTGCATACAGGCGGTCTCTCCCGGTTTGGAAGCCACGTGGATGTCGCCCCTCCCCCGCCAGCAGCTAGCACGTAGCTCCACTCAGCTGGTATGCAGAGGGGGACCGCGTACACGGAGAGCATGGGGCTGACGCTCACCCCCACCAGCCTCCCGCTGAAGGCCACTGTCACAGCACGGCACCTCACACATTCCCGGGTCCCTCTGGAATGCAACGAGGCCGCGGTGGACAGACACCTCCTCCCCCTGTTGCTTCCCTCCTTCGGATCACCGCCTCCAACCTGTCCCAACTGCCTGGATCCTCGGAGGCCACCCCATGACCACTGCTGCCTGTGCCCCTGACCCTGACATTGGTCTGAAGTGGCACAGCCTGGACCAGTCACCATGGCCTCCGCTAGGATAGTTTCTCAGAAGTGTCTTTTTCTTTAGAGTCTACAAATGACTGATTACCGTCTTTCCTCCCGTAATTTCTTTTTTTTTCAAAGACTTTATTTATTTGAGAAAGAGAATGAGATAGAGAGAGAGAGAGCATGAGAGGGGGAAGGTCAGAGAGAGAAGCAGACTCCCCGCCGAGCAGGGAGCCCGATGTGGGACTCGATCCCGGGACTCCAGGATCATGACCTGAGCCGAAGGC